TCCCCTTCCTTCCACTCTCTCTCACATCAATGGAAAATATCCTCGGTGAGGATTACAATTATTAATAATTATTATTAATTAATTAATTCATCAGAAAACAGGCTCTGTCCTGTCTAGATCCCTATCTAATAATAGACAAACATGGTAATTAACCATACCTCCGCTACGCTTCCCATTGGCTAATCAGCAAGATATGCAAATTAACTGCCAACAAAGATGGCGGCCGGCAGCCATGCAGCTGAAGCGAGCAGGAGGCTTGCTTGCTCCAGTGATGGAGGAAGCCAAGGTTCCCCGCCTGCCGCGGCCCAGCTCTGAGCTCCGGAAGCAACAATGTTGCAATTATAGAAGCTAAACAAACCCCAGATACCTGCTTTCAGCCGGCAGCAGGCTCAGAGCTTAGAGCGCCAGTGATGGCAACAGAGTTTCAATTATAGAAGCTAAACAAACCCAGATACCTGCTTTCAGCCAGCCACTGCCTCAGAGCTGGAGCCAGGCCTCAGAGCTGGAACCGGCTCTCAGCTCCAGTGACAGCTATACAAGGTAAATAAATCCCAGAATTAAAAAAAAGAAAAAAAGGAGAGGCTGGGAGCTTCACCGCCCGCCAGCCTGAAAACAGCCCTCAGCCCCTCACCCAGACTGGCCAGGCACCCCAGTGGGGACCCCTACTCTGAAGGTGGTGTGACCAGCTGCAAACAGCCATCAGCCTGTCATCCAGGCTGGCCAGGCACCCAAGCAGGACCCCCACCCTGATCTGGATCACCCTTCAGGGCAAACCAGCTGGCCCCCACCCGTGCACCAGGCTTCTATCCTATATAGTAAAAGGGTAATATGCAAACTGACCCTAACAGCAGAAAGATTGGGAATGACTGGTCACTATGACACACACTGACCACCAGGGGGCAGACGCTCAATGCAGGAGCTGCCCTCTGGTAGTCAGTGGGCTCTCACAGAGGGGGAGCTCTGCTCAGCCACAAGCCAGGCTGCCGGCTGCCAGCACAGCGGTGGTGGTGGGAGCCTCTCCTGCCACCTCAGCAGCGCTAAGGATGTCTGACTACAGCTTAGGTCTGCTCCCCGCTAGCAAGTGGACATCCCCCGAGGGCTGCCGGGCTGCCAGAGGGATGTCTGATTGCCATCTTAGGCCCAATCCCCTGGGGAGCAGGCCTAAACCACCAAGTGGTCACCCCCGAGGGGTCCCAGACTGAGAGAGGGCAAAGGCCGGGCTGAGGGGCCCCCCTCCCCCCGAGTGCACAAATTTTTGTGCACCGGGCCTCTAGTTTATATATTAAAAAATTCCATCATTTTGATGTATGTACATATGTGCTTTATGTTTTTCATTATTTATTTACCACAAGTAAAGGTCAGGCATTGTTATCTTTATTTTAAATTTGTTTTACTGTTTCACTTCATTACTGCTATGTATGTGCTCCCTGTGAGTATGTAGGTGCTTACCTAGGTGGATTCCGACTTACGGCAAAAATCGAGTTATGTTGTACCATAGGAACTGATCTCCAATATAACCCCAGGACCTACTGTATAGGAAATCTCCTTGACCAGCCTCCCCTCCCTCCCCCAACATCCTCCTGACACATCATTCTAGTTCAAGGGGGATGATTTGGACAATGTCGGAGACATTTTAGGTCGTCACACTCAGGGGCAGGTTGCAACTGGCATCTAGTGGGTAGAGAGCATGAATGCCACTTCAAAATTCTACAGTACACAGGCAACTTCTCTTTCTTCCTCCCGCCCCCAACAAGGAATTATCCAGCGCAATGTCAATAGTTTCACTGTTGAGAAATTCACATCTAGTATAAGAATAAAGAAGCCCACTGTCATTGAAATTAATTATTCATAATCGGTCATGTTTTCATTTATCTGGCCCTTTGAATAAATGACTCTTACCTTCTAATTCAAACACTACAAGCATTCACTCAATATATATTTTGCATATCCAAATTAAGCTATCCTTTCCTGTTTTTTTGTTTTATTTTGTTTGTTTTTTACACTATGAGACAGGGCCAGTGGTTCTCAACCTTCTGGCCCTTTAAATATAGTTCCTCATGTTGTGACCCAACCATAAAATTATTTTCATTGCTACTTCATAACTGTAATGTTGCTACTGTTATGAATTGTAATGTAAATATCTGATATGCAGGATGCTCTTAGGCAACCCCTGTGAAAGGGTTGTTTGACCGCCAAAGGGGTTGCGACCCACAGGTGGAGAACCACTGGGGTAGACTCATCCAAAAGCATCCTGGTGTCTTGGCTTGGATTGTGCCTAAAGAGCGATTTTGAAGAGACATTAAAATATTTCCAAAACTTATAATGAAAGCTCCATTTCAAGAGGGCAGTTTTGAAGCAGTTTTAAAAGAGCATAGACTTATAGATGCAGAGAACTGACTGATGGTTGCCAGAGGGGAGGAGAGGTAGGGGACTGGGTGAGAAAGGTGCAGGGAGTAAGTAGTACAAACTGATAGTTACAGAATAGTCACGGGGATGTAAAGTACAGCACAGGGAATACAGTCAGTAATATTGTAATAATGATATATTGTGCTAGGTGGGTACTGGTAATATCAGGGGGAACACTTTGTAAAGTATACGATTGCCTAACCACTATGAGGTACACCTGAAACTAATACAATATAATATTGAATGTCAACAGTAATTGAAAAACTAAAATTTAAAAAAAGATAGCAGTTATAACGCAAGATTTTAACTCCCTTGTTTTGAAATTGCCACGGATATAATTCAACAAGTATCAAAACAAGGACAACATTGATATGAACAGTGACAACAGGAGGTTACTATTGTCTATCTAAACACCTTGAGGGCAGTCTGGTGGAGATAAACTGAGATTGACGGGAATATCAACTGGTTGCAGAGTCAGCACAGATAAGCAAGTGGGAAGGGTCGCCCTTGCAGAGTCCTGATCTAGGCAAGGGTCAGGGACAGGCAGGTTGGGATAGTTCAAAAGTCCTTGGCAATTGCATCAGTGCCCTGTTCAGGTTTTAATCCCACCCCTTTCTTGTCATGATCTACTCTATTAGTCAGTGTAATGTTAGCTCCATGTTGTAACAACCCCACTGTCTCAATAATGTCAGTAGTTCAACGAGTGTATTGCAGTGGTTCAGTTTTTGGTTTTGTTTTGGAGTGTGTGTGTGTGTGTGTGTGTGCGTGTGTGCGTGCGTGCGTGTGTGTGTGTGTGTGTGTGTGTTTCATGTCTCTGTCCTATGCAGGCCAGCTGGCTCTTCTAGGCCGCTCGCCTCCACATGGTGACTCAGGGACTTAAGTTCTTTCCATTGTGGTCTCTGCATCTCAGAGTCCCTTATTTCTGACCCATATATGAGAAAGAGAAACCTTACAAATGATCAAGCAGGAAAGTTAGGTAATGGCCCTAGAGTGGCATACATCGTTTCTGGCCACATTCTGTATTCCAGGGCTATACAGATGGTCCCAGAGTAGCTGTAAGGGAGCCTGGACAATGAAGTCTTCATGTCTGTTCAGAGGGAGAATGGGATTGGTGAGCCTTGGCTGGTCTCTACCTAAATGACCTAGAAAATTAAGTGGGGCCCTAACCAGTTTGGCTCAGGGGATAGAGCGTTGGCTTGCGGACTGAACGGTCCCAGGTTCGATTCCAGCCAAGGGCATGTACCTTGGTTGCGGGCACATCCCCAGTAGGAGGTGTGCAAGAGGCAGCTGATCGATGTTTCTCTGTCATCGATGTTTCTAACTCTCTATCCCTCTCTCTTCCTCTCTGTAAAAAATCAATAAAATATGTTTTTAAAAAAAGAAAAGAAAATTAAGTGGGGCTGTTTTTATCCCCAGATTCTCAGTAAAGAAGCTGCACCAGAGGAGAAACAGTGCCCCAGCTGATTTCAATATGATTCAACAAAATAGGCAACTGCATTTTATCTCCAGGTGATCTCGGTACCATTCAAACAACATAATCCATCTCTGTGACTCTCCTGAAAATGAACTGCAATTACCTTTCTTAATGGGCACAAAAAAATCCTTCAGCATCAAGGTTTTACATTTCTCTTGTTCACAACTGGGTCATCTGAATTTACCACTGTAATCGGCTATGATTAGGCTGTAAAAATAGTGTTTAGCTTCAAATCCTTGTATCATTCTAGTTGATATCATAACAACTAGAAGCTGATTATATAGTGTCTACTGTGTTCTTCAGATTCTCTGCCTGAAAGGTAACCAAAACTTCAAATTGAAGGAATGTTTTTTATACCTTCATTGCAACCTCAATCAGATGTTTAATAACTGCTTGGTGATATCTTAAAGTAGGTGGCATCAGAAGACTCCTGGGTTGAATTCTGGGTCCTGGGACTTATGACTTTGGGAAGGTCAACTTCTCTAAATATGACTTAATTTTATATACCTGCATCAGACTATAATTGCTGCATAACAAATTACCATAAACTCAGTGACTTATGCAACAATGAAAGTAGCAACAACAACAATAGAAACTCATCTAAGTATGAGTGTACAAGTATATTGTGTTGATTTTAAGGTGTTTATAGAATTACCAGTTGAATAAATCACAACATGTACAGACATGGGAAATTAAGATCTTTGAAGTTCTAGTGCTTTGCATCAGGATGGACCCTGGCATCATAAGCCAACATAAAATCAGAAATATGTTTCAAAATTGTATGTAAACGTATGTATTTTTTCATCAACTTGATTACTCAATATCTTACTGCAATTATTTATCTTAATGGGTTTCAAATTTCCTTAATAGTTACAATAGGCAAAACACAGACTCTAAAATCTAAAATCCTAAAAATGACAGGAAAGGAAAATCAGTGAATTAATTTAAAAAATTAAAGTACAAAAAGCAAAGAATGTGCTGACATGTAATCAACTGACTCCCATCCCCCTATAATCAACATTGTCTTACTTTGTATTATAATAAAAAAGATATGTAAATATCCCATATTTTAAAGTACAGAGAAAAAAATTAAGCAATCCCTGCATCATTCTCATAAACATAAACAATTCTATACTAAATGTATTCTTTGTGTTTGCTACTGCATTAAATATGGAATTTGGCTGCTGGTCCAGAGGCTGCATGGCCTGGCTTCTTTAGTCCCACCGTGATATTATTGAGAAAAAAATCATAACATTCGTTTCAAAAGTACCTTGTCCGTGTCTGAGATAAGGTATCATTATGCTATAAAATGTTAACTTAAGAAGAGTCACAGGCCTAAAGGGCAATGCAGGGCATTTGGGGCTTTAGGGCTCTTCCTGCTGGAGGAGCTTCCACCTCACAGAGAGATCAACTTCCTCATCAAAGTCCTCCAGCTCCTGCTCCTTGGAGAGCTCCAGGAAGACCTGCCGTGGAGGAACAGACAGAGAGAGGGTGTCACACTGCCTCCTGGAGCTCCGAGTGCGTGCAAAGGGTATGCACACATTGCACCTTATATTCTATGGGGGATACAGAAATCTCTAAGGCGGACCCACCTGCTCCAGGGTGGACTGTGACAGGCTGTACTCCTCCAGGTCGAAGTTCTGTTTAACTGCACAAGGATGGATGGATGGGCATTAGGAAGTCATGTATTTTGGATCCTGAAAGTTGTACCAAAGTCACATATAAAAAGTACTAAGAGGCCAAGAGGAGGAGGCATCACTCATCCCCAGAAGCTGTGGTCAGAGGCTAAAGATGGGAGGGGAGAGGGTCTCATCAAAGAACCCACAAAAGCACCCCACAAGAGAAAGGGAGTCAGGCCCTGCTGTCATAGGACAGCACTAATGATCAAATCAAGCTTTGCTTCCATGTTATCTCCTCTCTCCTCCCCTTATACTTGACCTAGAGAGGCCTAAACCATCAGCCTATGAGTAGAGGTGAGGAGGGTAAGAAGAGAGACAAAACTGACCATCCTACCTCCCTAGCTTCAAGTCTTCAAATCTGAAGGAAGAAGGGGGCATGGGAGGCTCTAGTTTCCCTGGAATTTGCATTAGCCCAAAGCGATCTGATTGTATGCAAGAATGACTCTATGTAGCAAGGTAAAGAAATAACAATGGGGCATGCCTTTTGCTTCCAAGCTACTTGGAATTTCAATACATGCATTGCTGCTGAGAATGTAACTATGGCTAACTTAACATTTGGAGAGAAAAACACTAGCTTAGGACATTTCGGTATCTTGTAACAGGATAGGAAACTGATAAAAAGTTGTTTTTACCCCCTAAATCAGGACTTCCATTTCAGCAAACTAAGCACATCAGAAGGCATTTGAGGAGGGAGGGGACATTTTTGAAAACAGAAACACAGGAAGGCCCTTAAGAAAAAGCTCCATTGTATTCCAGGGAGGCAGCTTTCTTGGAACATCTCTCTCCCTGCTTCTAATTAATTATAAAATCCTTCCTGTTGATCAGACCCCATTGTGGGAATCCTTCCCACCGGAATGCTGCAAAATTGGTCGAAAGGCCAAAATGGTCTGTGCGGTAAATGGACCCATAGACCACAGAGTGAAGGGAGTGGCAGAATCAGGAGGTGGAAAGAAGCCCTGTCTGGGGCCATCCTAAGCTTAACTCCAGGGGAAGGGTCTTTTCAAGAACTAGGATGCCTGAGGGAGGGTTCTAATAACTGATGACAGGCAAAAAAATAAAATAAAAATAGACAAGTCGGAAAGGAAGGTGTTCAGCTTTGAATGTGTCTGTTTCCCAGAGTCTTTTAAAAAATATATATTTTTATTGATTTCAGATAGAAAGGGAGGGGGGAGAAAGAGGCAGAAACATCAATGAGAGAGAATCATTGCTTGCCTCTTGCATGCCCCCTACTTGGGATCAAGCCCACAACCTGGGTATGTGCTCCTGACTGGAATCAAACCTGGGACCCTTCAGTCCTACGCTCTGTCCACTGAGCCAAACTGGTTAGGGCTGTTTCCCAGAGTCTTACCTCTAAATAGTTGCTCTTACCGATCTCTAATTTGAAGAAAGCCTGCGATAAAGGTCTCACATCCTCAACAGGCAACTTATAGACCATCAGGGAGGAGTACCTGGAAGGAAAAGAGTGAGGCTGAACTCCGGGCCGTAAGAGCACAATCCCTGACAAGTGAATATCCAAAACGGAGCAACAGTCTGACAGATGTGAAGTGGTATCTCACTGTGGCTTTAATGTGCATTTAACTAAAGAACCAACCAACCAACCAAAGAAAACGGAAACAGACTCATAGATACAGAGTCTGTTTACATTCAGTATTATTTTGGGTCTACAGCATAGTGGTTATTATCACAGGAGATAAGAGCATAGGCCTGCGGACTGAAAGATCCCAGGTTCAATTCCGGTCAAGGTCATGTACCTTGGTTACGGGCACATCCCCAGTAGGAGGTGTGCAGGAGGCAGCCCCGCCCCTACCTTTCTCTTGATTCTCCTGGCCCCACCACAAGTTACTTGGCATTGTCTAACCCAGCGGTCAGCAAACTCATTAGTCAACAGAGCCAAATATCAACAGTATAATGATTGAAATTTCTTTTGAGAGCCAAATTTTTTAATTTTAAACTGTATAGGTAGGTACATTGTTATTAACTTAATTAGGGTACTCCTAAGCTGGTCTTTGCTAAAAATGTCCTCAATCTGATTGAGGTACGTTGGCTGAGGTCAACCCCTTCCAACTCTCCCATCCGCACTCGTCTTGTATACTTGTTTCGTCTATCTCCTTTCCTTCATCCTCTCTAGATGTCCAAACCATCTCAACATACCTTTCTCCATCCTCGACACTACATCTTCTTTCACTCCACAACATTCCCTAAAATTAACTTAATAAACTTTACTTAAAGTTTTAAGTCAACTTCGCACTGTACGTGCGCGGCCGCACTTGGTATTTTGTGGAAGAGCCACACTCAAGGGGCCAAGGAGTCGCATGTGGCTCGCGAGCCGCGGTTTGCCGACCACTGGTCTAACCTATCTGAGCCACCAGGGCCACTCATTACTTGATAATGTTACTGATAATAAAAATGCTAAGAGACACCATTCAGCGAGGTGGACTGCTGCCTGGCACTGGATGTTATACAGCTGATCTCCTTGAATGGGAGTGGCTTCACCCTCTAAAAGACAACTGAAACGAACTAGGTTCATGTACTGGTTAGTACCTGGCACCTTCCCTTACAGAATAAGTTTCCAAATGAGCATTTTGCTCTCTTGTTTCCCTCCTGTGGTAGCCCTTGGGTTCAGGACTGTCTCTAGTAATTTTTCCCAATGACCATAAAGTAAAAAAAAAAAAAAAAGAATGAGAAGATAGAAAATAAAACCGAGACCAAGGTGAAACAGAGCACCGCCTGGACTTACCTTTCCTGCCGAGCAGCCTGGGGGAAGAGCCTCAGGATTTCGCTGTGCAGGGGCTCCACGTGGGCGAGGGTCTTCATCTTCATCTCCAGCAGGTAATCCTTGCCAAATCTGCTCTTCAGGTGCTGGATGGAACCGATACATCTGGAGGGATGAGGAGGAGGGAGAAGAGGAAGATGCAATATTTGAGGCTTGGGATTTGCTGCTAGCGCTGTCTCAGGACTTGGCCATCAGACCCTGGTCAGGTGGTCCCAGTTTTTCACAGTGACCTCTCTGCCCACTGACAAACTCTACCAGCCATGCACATGGTGGTCAAGTGTGGGCTTGGGCGGACACCCACCTCAGCCTCCCGGACACCATGATGGCCACACGGTCACACACGGCCTCTGCCTCGGTCATGGATTGGGTGGTCAGGAGGGCGCCCCTCTCAGTGTTGTTAAAGCTGGCCCTGATCGCCTGCCTGAATGGAAAGAAAAGATATGCATGGGAAGCATACACAATGACATCCAGAACCCCGCCCTCTCCCCTACCTGTGAATCCTAACGTGAATTACCATTCTCACGAGAAGTGGGACACGGGGAGATTGTGTTTTATTGTGTCACACAGATACACCATAGCTACTTAAAAGATCAATTGAGCAATTACAATACTCAGAGTGAGTCTGTTTGGGCCTGACCATGATTAATTTCCCTTTAATGAGAAATAGCAAGATGTTTTTGCAAAGTATTGGCTCCAGTGATGGTGAACTTTTTGCGCTCGGCGTGTCAGCATTTTGAAAAACCCTAACTTAACTCTGGTGCCGTGTCACATATAGAAATTTTTTGATATTTTCAACCATAGTAAAACAAAGATTTATATTTTTGATATTTATTTTATATATTTAATGCAATTTAACAAAGAAAAATCAACAAAAAATTTGAGTTCATAGGTTCACCATCACTGGGCTTTACAAATGATACTCGGGGTTGTTTTTATTTTGTATTAAGAGACAGTGTACAGGAAGGGGCCACCTTGCTTTCTGTAGAGGCATGGAGTTGGTGGCCACGCCTCTGGGCTGGGATGAGCTAAGCTCTCGGGGAGTCGGGGAAAACGGGGGCCGAGCTGGAGTTACAGCTGCTACAGGGGTGGCAGTTGGACCATTGCTGCTGCAGGATTTGCAGTCTGTTGTGTTTTGTTTTTTTAAAAAAATATATATTTCTTGATTTCAGAGAGGAAGGGAGAGGGAAAGAGAGATAGAAACATCAATGATGAGAGGGAATCATTGATCGGCTTCCTCCTGCATGCCCTACACCAGGGATCAAGCCCGCTACCCAGGCATGTGTCCCCACAGGGAATCTAACTGTAACCTCCTACTTCACAGGTTGATGCTCAACCACTGAGCTATGCCAGCTGGGGCAGGCCATTGTGTTTTGCAAGCCACGAAGTATGTGGAGCCTCAAGTCAAACAACACTTTCAAAGTCTACCAACATCTGCCTTCAGTGGTGGCTATTACACATGGGTTTGAACCCAACATAACAAAATGGGAAACAGAATTCACATAGGGTAAGCCCTACTGCCAATAAAGGAAAAATAAGAGATGCGCATTAGTGAATTATGCTTTTAACCCTCCTAGACGATCCCTTCAATGAAGCTGAAGGTTCACTAGAAGGCCAAGCCAAAAAAAAGTGAACATATAGGATGAAAAAAGTTCTTATCATGTTATGTACACGAGTACCAGCTTTTTATAATAAATGGTCCGCAGCTACACATTTTAAAAATGATTTTGCACAAAATAAGTCAAAGCCTTGGATAAGTTTCCTTTTAAATTTGAGGATTTAAAATCAGATTATAGAATATTTAGAGATGAATGCTTAGTAATTATGGATAAATACACACTATTTGAATAGAACTATGATTCATTACTCATTTAGCAAAGAATTGGGTACTTATTTCAAGGCAAAGAGAGCATGAACATCTCTGCTCTCACAGAACCCCAATCTAATGGAGACTGAAAAACTGGTAACAGAACATGATAACTATTATGATGGAATTAGTGATGGTGAACTTATCTCATTGGGTACAGAGAGCTGGCTCAGCTGAATTTAAAAGTGAGTAGCCATGCCAACTGGCATGGCTTAGTGGTTGAGGGTTGATCTATGAACCAGGACATATGCTTGGTTTGGGGTCTCCATCTCTAGTGTGGGGTGTGCATGGGCAGCCGATCAATGATTCTCACTCATCATTTTTGTTTGTATCTCTCTCTCCCTCTCCCTTCCTCTCTGAAATCAATACAAATATATTGATTTAAAAAATAAAAGTGAGTAGCCACAACTTTGACCTAAGAAACTGATATAAGTAGGTATATGTCCCCGACAGAACTCAGATTTCACACGTTAAAAACTTGATGAAAAGTAAAAAACATATCAAAACAGCTTAAGGGACAATGTTCACAGGAGGTAAACACTTCACAGATTTCCTGCCAGGCATCCACACTGGCCCTGACCCGGCGGTGCCCCTCACCACATCTGCTGCTGCCCCAAGGGGTCCATGTCCGTGGTCGGCTCGTCCAGCAGCACCACCGATGGGTTTCCCAGGATGCTCAGCGCGAAGCACAGCTGGAAGGAGAGGAACAGCGCATCTGGCACGGATCTGGGATCTGTGGGCCTCGCGGGGTAACCCCAGCCCCAACCCTACCTTTCTCTTGATTCCCTCTGACAAGGCCTTCACAGGGCGCTTCTGCTCCTCCTGCAGCTTGAGCGCCTCCACCAACCTGAAGCAAACACAGTGGGGGCTACAGGCTTCTGACAACCAGGACACTTAGTGGGAGAGGGAGCCACACAGGGCCAGGTGAAAACAGAGCTCCGAAATGCGGTTCTGACATAGACGCCTGGCCATGTTGCATTGAACTGGTTTGACGCCCGCCCCCCAAATTAGTTTTTCCCTTTGAAAGATTTGAAGCCATTTTATGACATGCAAATAGCTGTCCTATGATAGTTTACACTTAAGTTTTAGTATTTTTGATAAATTTACCAATACATACTTTGTTCTTTCCATATTTAAGATGAGAAAATAGAGGAGAAACCAAGATGGCGGCATAGGTAAACACCGGAGATTGCTGCCTCGCACAACCACTTCAAAAATACAACTAAAAGACGGAACAGAAATCACTCAGAACCACAGGAAGACTGGCTGAGGGGAAATTCTACAACTAGAAGGAAAGAGAAAAGCATACCGAGACTCTGAGGAGGTGCAGTGCGGAAAATACAAAGGTGCGGAGGTGCATGCGGAGCGGGCTGGTGGCTGAGGGCGCGGTTGTCTGTTTCAATCGGGAGGGAGTCTCAGGCTCTGAGCTCCAGTTCCGAACGTGTCTCTGGGGACCCAGACTCAAACGCAGAAGCGGGACTGTCTGGCATCGGTCGGAACTCGAGGGCAGCTTTCTCTCCGAGGTTTGCAGCGGTTGCTGGGACTCTGAGAGGCAGAGCCTCTGGAGACGGGACTGAGAGCAGCCATAACTGCTAGCTCCACCCACCCTGTAGATCCCCTGGGACCTGCCCCGCCCAAGCCCTGCACAGAGGCATTTGCCGGATAGCCTCAGGCAAAGGCTACATTAGCACCTCCCTAGAGGACAGTAGTTCTCCCACTGCAGACACAGCTGATTCGCACAGCCAGTTGGCCTGGAGGTCAAGTAGTAATTACCTACAACAAGCAAGGCTTAACTACAACAAGACTGCACACAAAGACCACAAGGGGGTGCACCAAGAAAGCATAAAAAATGCAGAGACAAAGAAACAGGACACAAATGACAGAAATGGAGGATATAGAGTTCAAAACCACACTTTTAAGGTCTCTCAAGAACTGTCTAGAAGCCGCTGATAAATTTAGTAAGGCCCTGGAAAAGACTGGGGAGACCGCTGAGAAATATAGTGAGATCCTCAAGAAATCTAATGAGACCCTCGATATTGTGATAAAGAACCAACTAGAAATTAAGCATACACTGACTGAAATAAAGAATATTATACAGACTCCCAACAGCAGACCAGAGGAGCACAAGAATCAAGTCAAAGATTTGAAATGCGAAGAAGCAAAAAACACCCAACGGGAAAAGCAAAATGAAAAAAGAATCCGAAAATACGAAGATAGTGTAAGGAGCCTCTGGGACAGCTTTAAGCATACCAACATCCGAATTATAGGGGTGCCAGAAGATGAGAGAGAGCAAGATATTGAAAACCTATTTGAAGAAATAATGACAGAAAACTTCCCCTACCTGGTGAAAGAAATAGACTTACACGTCCAGGAAGCACAGAGAACCCCAAACAAAAGGAATACAAAGAGGACCACACCAAGACACATCATAATTAAAATGCCAAGAGCAAAAGACAAAGAGAGAATCTTAAAAGCAGCAAGAGAAAGAAACTCAGTTACCTACAAGAGAATACCCATACGACTGTCAGCTCATTTCTCAACAGAAACTTTGCAAGCCAGAAGGGAGTGGCAAGAAATATTCAAAGTGATGAATACCAAGAACCTACAACCAAGATTACTTTATCCAGCAAAGCTATCATTCAGAATTGAAGGTCAGATAAAGAGCTTCACAGATAAGGAAAAGCTAAAGGAGTTCATCACCACCAAACCAGTATTATATGAAATGCTGAAAGGTATCCTTTAAGAAGAGGAAGAAGAAGAAAAAGGTAAAGATACAAATTATGAACAACAAATACACATCTATCAACAAGTGAATCTAAGAATCAAGTGAATAAATAATATGATGAACAGAATGAACTGGTGATTATAATAGAATCAGGGACATAGAAAGGGAATGAACTGACTATTCTTGGGGGAGAAAGGGGTGTGGGAGATGCGGGAAGAGACTGGACAAAAATCATGCACCTATGGATGAGGACAGTGGGTGGGGAGTGAGGGCGGAGGGTGGGGTGGGAACTGGGAGGAGGGGAGCTATGGGGGGAAAAAAGAGGAACAAATGTAATAATCTGAACAATAAAGATTTAATTAAAAAAAATAAGATGAGAAAAGAAAATAACATGTTAAAATCAGGAAAACCAGTTTGTGATCGCAAATCTCCCCATTGGGGTCTGGGTCAGCGTTGAGTCTCCTGGGAAATCTTGAGTTTCCTGTGAAGGCTGTCACTCCAACTGACTTCCTGGACCTCTCAGGTGTGTCCTCCTCCTGCCCCCCTCCCCCCCACCCCTTCCCCCCTTGTACCGTGTGATGGTGACCGTGGCATCTGCTTTCCTCAGCCCTTTCACTGCAGCGAACACGTCCAGGTGCTCTCTCACTGTCAGGTTGGGCCACAGCGCATTCTCCTGAGGACAGTACCCCAGGAACCCCAGAGGGTCCCCTTCACTGCTGCCTTTTAGTAGCACCTGCAGATAAAACTTCCCTCTCAGACTCGACGGCCTGCATTGCTCCTCTGTGTTCCCATGACATCTTTCTCCTTACAAAACTAGAAAAACTAGAGAAATTCTCCGAGCTCATTGCCTCAAATCACCTGCAACCATTTTGCATTGGAAGAAGGTTGTCAGAGTGTAAATACCTGGCAACGAACAGATATTCAGGGCAAGTGACTTTAGGTAGGGCGATCCGAGAAAGCCTGCCTGCTGAGGGACCATTGCAGCAGGAGGGTGACAGGGCGCCTGCCCTGGAAAAGGCCAGGAGTTTGGGGTAGAGCAAAGCCCTGTGGAGGGATGCTGCTCAATGTGCTCTCAGACCCCAGGCTACAGTAGGGGATCTGGAGCCGAGTGGTCCAGGGGAGAAGAGAGAGATATGATAGGAGGGTCGTGGGAATCAGCAAGGAGAGGTTTCCTTCCAGCCACAGTGCAGTGAGAGGTCACTGAATGTATTTCAGCAGGACAATGACCTTTTATAAAGATCTCACTGACTGATCTGATTCAAGCTGGTTTCATGACACCCAAATGGTTATTGGGTTTATAATTCAGATCTCACGTAACCTTTAGACATATTTCATTCCAAGATCTCAATGAATGGTTACCTCTTTTTTTGCCCCTGCTTAAGGAGAAATAAAATATTGATTTTATTTCAAGGGGGTGCTCTCAACTGAACTAAGCACTCCCATTAGGCTGGCTGAGCCACCAACATCACCCAGAGGCACCTTTCATGAACACCTGCTCTCACCTCAGCTTCAGAGCAACTGTGAATATGTTTCCTCCTTTCTCTTTCCTGGGACACCTGCCAATCACGTTCTTGGTGGTCTTCCCCTTGGTGGGCGTGACCACCAGCCCCTTTCCCATGGTGGAGGTGCACAAACCTCTGCCTTAGGATTCTGTTCTCCACTCCCCCCACCCCGACATACCTTCAGAGGAGCTCTTAAGGTTAC